TAGTCGTCAAAATTATTATTATTATTCTCTTTATTTACTTTATATACATATTATTTACATTTTTAAATATACACTTTATAAAAAAATACATTTAAAAATATAAAAAATAGTAGACCACCGACATCGGGTACAGGGACCAAGACACCGGTGGTTAGGACTCCAAAGATAGGAACCTCCTCACTATACGAGCCGTGTCAAGGAGGACTGCCTTCTGCATCAGACCCTTGATCCAGCCATCCAACGTGAGCCTCTTAAGGTGTTGGTCGAGGCTCTTGGCTATCAATCCATGAGCAGATACGACTATCGGAACAATGATCACTGAATCAACATTCCACATATCGACAATCTCGTGAGATAAATCCAAATATTTAATTTGTTTTTCTTTTTCAACTTTCACGAGATTCTCGTCATGAGGAACGGCGATATCAACAATCATTGCGCGGCGCTCTAATCGATCTATCAACACAATATCAGGCTTATTGGCAACAATAGTCCTGTCTGTGATAATAGATCGATCCCAATACAACGTGGCCCGACCATTCTCGAGAACTGGGTCGGGCACATACCTATAGTATGGCACCTCTAGATTCACAAGATGGTATTTAAGGGCAAGCTGTTGGTGTACGATCCTGGCTACTTGGTTGTGCCTGTGCAAATATTCTCCGTTAGCAAGACGAGAACAACCAGAAATAATATGCCTGATTGATTCGCCAGGACGGTGGCATGCCCGACAGATGTCAACCGTACCATCTTTCAGGATATATTTCCGATAGTTATTCGTCATGATAACTTCGTCCATAATCGCACAAACAAAACCTTCAGTTTCTCCAAAGAGATCACCATGCCGTAGCCAAGTCGAAGATGCTTTTAAATCTACATCGGACCCGTTTAGGGCCCGATAAAACCGACCATGGAGCTCTTTGCCCTTCCATACTTCCCTGCGATCATTAACACCAAGTACTACAGGTCTGCGCCAATTCTCTTTAGCCAGAGCGAGCGGGGTGAAGCCGGTATCCACTGCAACTACATTGCGATGCACTCCCACGTCGGTATGTAGAAAATATTCTCTGAGATTGCATACCTCGCGATTATGTAGGGTCTTGATATTTAATAGACCGCGACCCCCAAGCTTTCGCGGGATATACAATCTCATAACTGATGAACGTGGGTGGTGCATTCGGGATGCAGTCAGCAGTGTGCGGACTTTCCTGTCAAGGGCATCTAATTCGGTCTGAGTCCATCTAAGTATATCAAAGGAATACATTAGAACCGGCATGACCCAACCATTGCAGGCTCGCACCTTGTTGCCCCCTGATAAAAGACTTTTAAGTACTTTTTTCAAGCGGCCAAAAAAGCGTTCCTGCAATGTTTGTTTCATGTTAGATTCTGGTATTCCCAACGACTGTGATATACCCAGATACTTGTAAGTTTCAGTGGCAGACAGAGATCTGAGTTTTGTTGAATCCAAAAGCTCTATTCCTTCAGATTCAACTATCACACCCTTCTTTACATACATGACTGCACACTTGTCTACACCAAATTCCATTTTGATAGAATTACTAAAGTTTTCCGTCACCTTTAGTAACTTTGTCAATTGTAATTTGTTGGAGGCTAACAGTTTCAAATCATCCATATAAAGAAGGTGAGATATAACTTGATCATTTTTCTGCAACCTATAGCCTAACCCTGAACCCTCTAATAAAGTGCTAAGAAGGTTCAAAGCCAGACAAAACCACAAGGGACTCAGACTATCACCTTGAAATATACCCCGCTCGATCTTTATTAGTACATCGCGTATCGCTGTCTGCCGACATCCTGGATAGCGAAGTGCCGTTCTCCATTGCCCCATACATGACTTCAAGAAAGTGCACAGAGTTGTATCAATTTTATACAACTCCAGCACCTTCAAAAGCCATGTGTGTGGAACCGAGTCATAAGCCTTCTTATAATCTATCCAACACGTCGCCAAACTCTTACGATTACAACGTACCTGTTGGCTAATGGTCATGTCTATTATAAGGAGGTCTTTAGTGCCACGGGTCCCACTTCTACATCCATTCTGAGAAACTGACATAATCGAATTATTATTAATATGTAAAGTAATTTTGAGTCTCAGAATAGATGTTAGAAGTTTATACATGGTAGATAAACATGTAATAGGTCGAAAATTTTTGGGATCCATGACACTACCAGACTTATAGAGTAAGTGGGTTATGCCAGTGGTTAAAAATTGGGGTAATGAACCCGAATCCAAAGCTGCCTGGAATTGAGATGCCAAACGCGCATGTGAGCTTCGGAACCACTTAAGCCAAAAGTTGTGCAGTCCGTCTGGACCAGGTGATTTCCAATTCGGTAATGAACGAACTGCACAACTTACATCATCTTTATCAATTTTAACAGGTTCCATAGGTGTTATAGACTCACATGAGCGTCTGACATCCTGCAACCAATCACCTTCTATATGAGTGACAGGCACCGACCAAATGTTACGCCAAAATGTATTTGTGACATTTTCATCTGGCAAATGCCTATCACCCACACATGGATCCGGTTCCTCCCATTTCCGGTACACCCACTTCTCATTTCTTTGGAACATCCGATTCTGATTATACCGATCTATTCGTTTTTTATACCGTCTTATCCTATTTGCCCATGCATAAATTTTCTGCTTTAGAAAGTCTATGCGCTCTGTGACACATGACATGTACTGCTGAGGACTAATGGTAGTCCCCAAGAATGCCTGTTTCACAAAGCGCATCACTCTCGGCCGCATATTCCCTGATCGGTAGCTAATAAGCTTACCGATGAGTGTCCTGGTCTCAGTAATACGACGTTCAATTCTATACTGCCAAGCTGGTACAGTAGATTTAGGTCGAGTAGTAGTGACATTGTTAGCTATTTTAACACCAGCTACTCGACAAACTGCAATAGCCGCACAATATAGAATAGAATGTGTATCACTAAGATCTTCGCTATTATCTAAATATTCAGGCAATAACGAATCCAGGGCACCCACCAGCGCTAAATTTCGTTTATGAATGGGCAAACGGAATAACCGGGGCCTATCATTGCAATTTAAATATCGGTATTCCAGAATCGCATCCTCCAAAGCACTCCTTATCGTATCATTGTATTGGGTACTTACGGATATAACTTCACTCTCCACTAGTTCATCAATATCATCAGTATATGATGCCAACTGAGGTGTGCTGTTGGCTACCGAATCCACAGTGTGTGACGAAGAAGGGATAATTAAGCTATTCCGTATGTCAGAGCGTATCCTCTCAAGTACTGCATCATCCAGCAGATGACAGCGCTGTATAGCTCGTACTTGATCCGACAATCGTTGTGCTGATACGTTGACAGCTGGTTCAAGCTCCTGAAACAAAGAGACTAGTCGAACACGGTACGCAGTAAGGTTCGTTCCCACCTCTGTAGCCCGATAATATGCCCGCATGACATTTTCATTAATAGACTTTGTCCACTTCATGCGGCGCACATCACCACCGGTAGCGGGGACCCTGTTCGAGGTCAGTAGTCCTCGGGATCCCAAGCTGGTCGGTGGCCGGCCTCTCCCCTGCCGACGTACAGGTGTTGGCGACGTCGGCGGAGAGAAAAACTCGTCGCTTGAAGTTGAGCTCGACGCCTCAGCCACGGCCGGAACTTCTGTTGTAGCTTCCGGGGACGGCAAGACGGAGCGGAGCGACGAGTCCGGGGATGTTGTCAGTGCTCTGGATCTAGCTCGGGTTAACATTTTCTAGTCGAATTTCTAATTTCTTTCATTTTCAATATTTTTTTGTATTTTGACATGACGTTAAACGTCATGTCTTACTATCAACATATATCTATATATATTATTTATTTAAAACGGTTTTGTGTTATATTTTTATAAAAAGGATCCATTTCAATACAGTTTAATAGCTTTTAATGATTGTACGGGATTGTAAATGTATAGAAAACTTGTTTTAATTCGAAAATGTGAAGAAATTCCGACTGATGTAGGTAAGTGTTGCTAGTGTTTATTATTATTATTATTATGTAATCTACAGAACGGATAACGATTGAGAATAAAAAGTGTCACCACCCCTATTCATCCTAAGGGTGTCGTAAAAGCCGACTGAGGGAGCACACTACGCAGAACAACAGCACTACAAAGAGAAGGAAAACTTGAAACAAACCCTATACCAACCCGTCTGGCCAGCGTGGTATAGGAGGCCGAAACCTCCTTCCTAAGGAGAGGCCCATGTCCAGCAGCAGGCTATGAAATACTGTTGATGATGATGATGTAATCTAAGGTAAAAGGTTGCGCAGAATAGGTTTAGCTCGGTAGGATTCTAGGCGGGATTCGTACTTAGAACCACAATTTCACAAGTCCGACGCCTTACCCTTATCGCGTCACTTTAATACTACTTAATTAATCCTACCAAGGACTGATTTTATCACTTACATTATGTAGGTATTAGGTATATTTTTATATACATATGTGTGTTTCTTTCTAACATGTATTCTATTGTTAGTTACTTACACATTTAGTCCTAGATAAAGATCGAAACATTTTTAGGCACATTAGATTACGTAGTAAGCTTTACGTTTAAGCTTTAATCCATATGAGGTCGATATATTTTGTAACTTCAACTGTAATCTAATCACGCACGCTATTACATACAACGCAAAAGTAACTTAAATAAACGACTTAAATTAACTGTATTTGACATCTTTAGATCACAGATTTTTTCCGTACCACTGGCAGAAAATTTAACAATTCAAACCACGTAACTTTAATTCAGGTCGCAAAATAAATTACAGAGAATTACGCAAAAAATAAATTACGCTCCATTAATTCCTGGCGCGTAATTTTCATTGCGTAATTCATCCCGTGTGTCCTCGGTTCAACTCTCACTGGTGTACGAACATTGAATAGTGATATATCGAAAGTGATGCGCTTGGGTAGAAAGCCAGTGTGATGTATCTGTTCGCCTGCTAGCAACAATCTCTTCAACATGGGGCTACATAAACGAGAAAGTGAGTATATTTTTTTACTTTGTTTTTTCAGTTTACAATATATGGATGTTATTTTTTATAGAATCTAGAAATATCATTACGAAATTTCTTATTAAGAATCCTTAATATGCATAATCATGCAAGGATAAACTGACGTATTTTGCCGTCTAATGGCGATGACTGTTCCAATTCTATTTTCATATAAACTTAACGAGTATGTTTTCCATTAGAAACTGTTTTTAAAAGTTCTCAAAGGTTCGATAAATCTGTCAACTGACTAACCTGCGCTAGATAACGCCTAGTCATCTGTAGTCAGGACTTTAGCACACAGATCCAGCAACTAACTTATTAAAGAAATAAAAAAAGCCGATTTCAATCATTATTTTACTAATTACCCTACTTATTCAACTTTCGAACTTGAGTGTTATCAGAGTAAGGAGATGAAGGATACAGATTATTACAAATTATCACGATTTATATGCATTGAAAATGTTGATACTTTTATATTGTTATTATATAATAATGCCATTTTTTTTTCAATAAATGTAGTTTTTTTTTGAATAATGAAGACATTTCGGCGCGTTGATCGTGATTACAGTTATTCTATTTTTAAACTTTTAAATAGGCTCGCCGTCTGCGTGTTAACCGAACTTACGGATTTAAAAAATCATTTTAAACTATTTCTGAAGTGAGTTACGCTAGTTATTAAGAATGACATCGCCATATTGGTTACGTTCGTATTCAACTACAAATAATGACTTTTGCTTTCAAATATACGTATATTCAATATTCAAAATGTGCTAGCTGGATATTATAATAAACAGTCAAACAGAAACAGAACATACGAGTATTTATCAATATTTATTCATTATTTTCTGTTGTTTGTTAGAAAATATTTAACAAGAATATGTTGGAAGATACAGCGTTACTAGATAGATTTACGGCAGGAGCTGGATGCGAGAAGCCCAAAATCGATCTAAGTGGCGTGCAATGGGAAAAGGCTATGTCCAGCAGTGGACTGCAATAGGCTGATGATGATAATGATATGGAATACATATTTTTAAGAGGAATAAATCCGTATCCGAGAAAAACAGTCCTTGCGCGCAGTTTACTTCTGACACCTTAAAAAATCATTAAATTAAAATTATAGGAAACCCTAATGGATTTATCCATACTATTATTCATACTAATATATTATTATAATATCTATACATACAAATAAATAAAGTTGAAGTGTCTGTTTGTAATATTAAAATAACCGCTTTTTACTAAATGCATATGTATGTTTACACGGTACGCATGCCAAAATAACATTTTTTACAATTTTTGTCTGTCTGTCTGTCTGTCTGTCTGTTTGTTACGCGTAATGACTGGAACGGCTGGACCGATTTCGACGGGACTTTCACTGGTAGATAGCTGATGACATAAGGAGTAACTTAGGCTACTTTTTTTAGACTAGCTTCGCCCCGCGGTTATAGCAACAAACGCGGGTAACACCGCGGGTCTCAGCTAGTATTATTATAAATGCGAAAGTGTGACTGTCTGTCTGTTACCTCTTCGAACTTAAACCGCTGCACCGATTAGATGAAATTTGGTATAGAGATATTTCGAGTAGGATAGTTTTTATTCCAGAAATCGTGCTTTAGGGGAGTAAAAAGAGAGGTGGAAGTTTTTATGGGGAATCAATAACTGCTTAACAGATTTAGATGAAATTTAGTATGCAGATACACGCGGGCGGAACCGCGGGCAAAAGCTAATAGGTACTGATATATGTTTTAGTTTAGTCATAAAGAGTGTAAGTAAGTGGTTCAGATCCTATGTTAAACATAAATTGTTTTGCCTAAATTAAGCAATACAACCTTTGTAAAATACTGTACAATTGTCCTCCCATATTAATTGAAAGAAATTGTTTGACAACAAGTAATGACGTCAGACGTTGGTACGTTTAGTAAACAAATACTGATTTGACTAGTCAATGTTCACACGTATTAAAAACCACGCAATTTAACAATTGACACGCTTTTTACAACAAAATAAACAATTATTTAAGCAGAACAAAATATGGTTACAGACAGTACAGTATAAAAGGGTACGTTTGACTCGTCTGAAGGTCGACAAAATCAATACGGCGCGCAACGAGACATACTCGTCTATGCCTTATACTTAACTGAAATTTATTTTGTATAAATATATTCTTTTTTCTTCCAATCTCATTAGTCCTGTGCATAGAGTATAGAATTTAATATATTCAACTTATTATATTTTGATTCTTTTTTTAAGTTTTGAGCCGTTTGTGGTCGAGACGCTACAGTCATAGGGTCCGTACTCGTTTTTTTTTAATCTAAGCATCTGATCGACACTTTTCGTGATCAGAAGGTGGATATTTTTCTAGTACAGAGAATAGTCATTCAACGTGGGTGTGCTGAGCGCTCTCTCCATTTTGGAGGGTTGGAGGGGGCTCAAAAGCCGGCATACCATAAAAAGGGGTTGACAAGTTGTTAAGAGATCACTTTTTCAAAGAAAACTGACTCATAAAAGACTGCTTAGAACATCATTATTGGCGTAACAAAAAAGCGCTGCAAAAATAACCGAAATTTGGCCAAATTTTGCCTTTTTACCGAATGTTCGGCCGAAGTTCGTATTCGGTTCAAACCACATGTGGCGCATCCTTAGTAATTGTATAAAAAAAGCCTTTTATTTCTTTCATATTTTTGCATTTTATTAGTTATATATATATATTATATATATATATATATATATATATATATATATATATATTATATAATAAAATAAAGAAAATAAAAAATGAAAGATGTTAAATACAGGATAGAATCAGAAATGTTAAATATGAATTCAATATTTATCATAAAAAATCTCAACTTTATTTTTAAAATTATATTTAAAATATTTTTAAAGTATAGGCAATTAAATCAATGTGCAATATATGTATGTGTATGTGTATTTAAATTAATTTGAGTTGAATCATTTTAGTCAATATGTTATTTTATTAATAGATGCTTCGCTGTATCACGTTGTGATTGCATTTGAACAAATTTGAGCAAATTTGAGCTCAATCAGTGCAGAGCTTTTTAAGTTTTTGAAGCGTACACAAACCAACTTAAAATTTTTATTTATTCATGTAGATAGTTATACGTATTAAGATAAAGTAAAAAAGGTAATTTCAAATTTAATTAAGTTCCTGATACTTTCCGTTTTGACTAGACTAGACATTATTACACCTGCAAAAGTGACACAGGTGTGTTGCCGCCTTTTAAGTACACCCAAATAGTAAAAAGACTGTTGTGTAACTCATTGAACAGTATATAATTCATTATCATAATCAACAGCTTTTAATAGTCCACTGCTGCTGGACATAGGCATCTCCTTAGTAATTAGGCTTTGACCTACTTAACCACGCTAGCCAGAAAAGTTGGTATAGCGTTGGTTTCAAGTTTTCCTCCTCTTTGCAGTGATGTTGTCATGCGTGGTTTGCTCCCTTAGGCGGCTCTTACGACACCCACGGGACGAATAGGGGTGGTGACACTCTGTATTCTTAATCCGTCACCACACGGATATGAATGAATGAATGTATGTTGTATTATCAGGCAATAAATAACTTTTAGAAAATCATATATCACATTATGAATCCAATTTGTAATGTAACAAATAGCTAACTATGACAGCAAGTACAAGTTCAAAGCGCATAGCCTTGTTAGCTGTATGTCACGTCAGTAATGGCCGCATACCTACCACTCGATATAATGGCTGTGTGCACGAACTGTTGTGAGCGAAAAGTGCAAGCGAGTGTGTTTATCTTTTGTTTATTATTAAAAACAAAACACGTTTGTATATTTCGTGGGAATAATGTCATACAAAGTTTGAACTGTTTTCATTTTTAACCGTTGGAAAGAAATGCTCCGGCACATAAGAGCTTGTTCGACTGGAGTGATAACATAAGCTCACACAAAACCGGTGTTAATGACATGAATACGGAGGTCAAAACTAATTCTGACGGGGGAAACAGAAGGCCTTGTCAGAGAATCCCTCCCTCCAAGGGGGGGACAGTCAAACCACTGTTAAGTCGCAAGTGTCTATCGGTCAGTGGTCTCTTACCATCAGGTGAACCGTCTGCTCGTTTGTACAAAAGATCAAAGGTCTGTGAGATTGAGCTAATTACGACAAACGATCATATTTTTTTTATACATATATGTTATTATGAAATGCAGATTCCAAACATTCGTTATAAAAAAGACATATCACAATTTATGTGACAGAAAACACTAGCGCAAAACACAATCTCACTGCCGTTCTCTAAAGCAATAATTTTACTTTCACCGCTACTCCTACAAATCACCTATTTTTTTCATATGTACGAAGTAAAAATTACATCTATAGTCTGTTCATATTAATTTTACTAAATATTGAATACGAATTTAATTACAAAATGAATAAATTTGATGATGATGATGAATGATGCTCGGCTCCTATTAGTAGTAGCTCGATGATATATAGCCTTCCTCGATAAATGGGCTATCCAACTCTAAAGGAGTTTTTTAATTAGAACCAGTAGTTCCTGAGATTAGTAAGTTCAATCAAACAAAGAAACTCTTCAGTTTTATAATATTAGTTAAGATTTCATTTATTAATTTTTTCTTTTTATTTATAACTAGCTGACCCGCGCAACTTCGTCTGCATCTCTCAATAGTAATAAATTTTCTCCGTTTTTTGAAACATTCTTCATTGGTGCTCCGCTCCTATTGCTCTTAGCTTGATGATATATAGTCTATAGCCTTCCTCGATAAATGGGCTATCTAACACTGAAAGAATTTTTCAAATCGGACCAGTAGTTCCTGAGATTAGCGCGTTCAAACAAACAAACTCTTCAGCTTTATAATATTAGTATAGATTTAATGTCAAAATAAATAAAAGAATAATTAGAAGATACTTCCTTTATTTTTTAAAGAGGTCTGTGGATGGAAGATTATTAACCATAGTGTATTGGACATACCATCTTTTGAAGC